TCTATTTTAAGTCTCCATGGCAGCAGCAAGTTAATGGCTGAGTCATCTCTCCAGCCCCTCCATAAGCCTTCTTAAAAGCAAACTTGGTATGGTACAGTAAGAAATTGGATTAAGTATGAGATAGTTTCTGATGATTCTCATTCTCTCTCTCTCTCTCTCTCTCTCTCTCTCTCTCTCTCTCTCTCTCTCTCAACAATGTACTATAACTAGTGTCCCTGTGTGTCCTTGTGTGGAGTGAAGGGACAAACAGTGATTCCCTAGACACACAGTCAGTTTAACCTTAGGAAAGGACAAAAAGATACCAGTACTTGGGAGATAGAAGTCAGAGAAGGAATTCCAGGTCATTCTCTGCTACGCAGCCAGGTTCAAGACCAACCTTGGCTACATGAGGCCTTGCCTCAAAGCCCCTGCTCCCTCCCCCACAAAAGGCTCTGCTTTATGAAAATGATGGTGCTATGGACCAAATTAATGTATTAACTGGGAGAGGAAAGGAAAGGCTTCTTGTGTGTGTGTGTGTGTGTGTGTGTGTGTGTGTGTGTGTGTTTTGTGTGTTTTGTGTGTTTTGTGTGTGTTTACGCCACACAAGTTCGGATGTCATTCTTCAGGTGCCACCCACCTAGCCTGGAACTTGCCAAGTAGGCTAGGCCTGCTGGCCGTGAGCTTCAGTTATCTACCTATCTCGGTCTCCCTAGTGCTGGGATTCCAGACAGATGCTGCTAGGCCAGGTATTTGGCACACACTTTTAATCCCAGCACTTGGGAAGCAGGGGCAGTCAGATCTGTGTGAGTTTGAGGCCAGTCTGTTCTACATAGCATGTTCCAGGACAGCCAGGGGTATATAGTGAGTCTCTGTCTCAAAAAATAAAAACAAAATAAACCAAAAACACCAAATACATGCTACCACATCTGGCTTTTACTTTTACATGGGTTCTGGTATTGAACTGGGCCCTCATGCTAGTTGAGCTCTCTCTTTGGCCCAGGAAAGGCTTTTCACACCAGTTTACCTACCCACAGCTCACTGCCCACAGTGCCATAAATCATAGGCAGAAATGCTCATTTGAACCATTATTCAGAAGGTTGAAGTAGTAATGTTCCAAGTTCAAAGTCAATTTGGGATACACACTGAGTTCTGTCTCAAGGAGGGGAAGGAAAAAAAAGCTTTCTTTGCAAAGAATGCTGAACTACTGTGAATTGGGTGAGTGTAGCCAGTGGTAAAATTCAGGTGTATGCCTTCAGCATTTGCCAGGGACTGCTGTCCCCTAACTGCTTCAAATACAGTCTTTCGTCATAAAGCTCCTTTACATCTTATTGTTATTTCTTGTGTTTGACTCTTTTGAGACAGAGTCTTTCTTGGAATACTTGGGCTAACCACTAACTGTAGCTGAGGGAGACTTTGAACTCCTGTCTCTATTCCCTGTGTGCTGGGATTTACAGGCATGCTTCATACATCCAGCTGAAAATTTTGAGTCTCTGCATGACTCTCTAATGAAATACCTGTTTTACTGTAGAGTACTTTATGTCCCATTGATTTTTGTCTATTTCTAAAAAATAACAACCTTTAATAAGTAGATTAAGCCCTCAACAAATGGAATCTGTACAACATATTTCACTTCAGCATACTCTACTTCCTGGGATTTCTTCTCTGAGATGCAGTTGCATGAGTAGTTTTCCTAGAAGAAAAGTATGACTCTACTCAGGACCTGAACTAAGCCCCATTGTTAAAGTCGGGATTTTGACATGTTACAGTTACAGTTAAGAAAGTCTGAGAATAATGAATGTGTAGAGCGGTCTCAGTGTGCTGGCTTTTCTGATGTGGAGTATGGTTTTTTCCCTGCTGTGGAGGCCAAACCCAGTTGGCTCAGGTGCTCTGAAACCCTCACAGACACATTTTAAGACAAATACCTAAACTGAAGATGTTCAGTCAGCAGACAGCTTGCCCAGCATGCAGAAGCCCTGGGTTTGCTTGTGACACAAAGCTGTACATACTTGTAATCCCAGCTCTCAGGAGGTGGTGGTACGAAGATCAGGAGTCCAAGGTCATCCTTGGCTACATGAAACCTTGTCTTGAAAACAAATGAACAGCACAGTTGGCCTTTTAAAAAAATGTTTAGTGAATTCTGGCATTGTAAATTTATGAAAAAGCCAAGCATTCCTATAACCCATCTCCAGCTGTGAAGTTACTTATTTTGTATTTGAACGTACTTGTTGTACAGTCTATTTTATTGATGTGTCTGTTTTGCCAAGGGTGGTACCTCATACCTTTGCTGCCTGTTCAGCATCCTGAGCTGTAGTGTTGAGATCCTCTCTAGAGAGTGGTCAAGGGACAGAACCCTGTATACACACACACAGGTTTATATGTTTATTATGTATACACACACATGCACATATGTTTATTGTCTCTGTTTTCACTTTTTGAAGAGCTAGAGTTAACTTTTGTCAGCATAATTCTACATAGCCTCTGTCACAGTGACATGGGAAGTATAAAAATGTCTTGCTAAATATATCTTAATTAAACCTGCCTTGTCACATCTTCTAAACCAAGAACTTTAAACCTTGAGCTTTTGATGGTAAGAAATTTAAGTACAAAAATACAGGAACAGAACTTGACTCTGGACTGGTGAGATATGCACAGTAGCACAGGGTTCATCAGCAAGTGTGGGGTTCAGTTTCCAGTGCAAAAAAAATGACTAGGGCCATCCAGATGCCACTAAACATGATAGCTTGAGTTTGATCCCCAGAACCTAAATGTTAGGAAGGAGAGAACCAACTGTTAAAAGTTGTCCTTTGACATGCATATCCGTACACACACCTATAAATAATGTAATAAAATTCTTTCAAGAGCACTTTTTATAACTTTAAAAAATATTATAAAATAGTCATGAAAATAGCCTGGATACTGTTGATGATGAGGACTTTTGTCAGGCCTGTCACTGAACACTGTATTACAGTGGAAACTCACGCTAAAACAGTAATGTCTATTTCATAGTCTTTTTGTTTGTTTGTTTGTTTGTTTGTTTATTATGTATATAGCATTCTGCCTCCATGTATGCCTGCATGCCAGAAGAGGGCACCATATCTCATCAAAGATGGTTGTTAGCCATCATGTGGTTGCTGGGATTTGAACTCGGGACCTCTGGCAGAATAGTCAGTGTTCTTAACCTCTTGAGCCATCTCTCCAGCCCATTGTTTCATAATTTTATCTGTACACAGGAAAGATCATTTTCAAGTAGTTAGAATTAGCATAAAGAGCCAGCAGTGGTGACACACACCTTTAATCTCAGCACTTTGGAGGCAGAGGCAGGTGGATCTCTGTGAGTTAGAGACCAGCCTGGTCTACATAGAGCTAGTTTGAGAACAGCCTCCAAAGCAATACAGAGAAACCCTGTCTCCAAAAACAAAACAAAACAAAACAAAAGCAAAAAAAAGAATTAGCATAAAGGCATTGTTTCTAAAATATAAAAAGTACGCATCCTATGGTGAAGATAATGAAATTAAAAGTATCCTCTCACCTAAGGGCCAGGCTCCTAATTCTAACATGTTTGGCTTTGGGCATATGTTTCTGGGAACCCAACACAGAATCCTGTTCAGGCTAGTCAGGTGCTCTAGCCCTGAGCTCCAGCCCCAGCCACAACATGTGTACTTTCTGAGTTTGTCTGCTATCAATTAAAGTTATTAATAATAAGACCCATTTTATGCTTTATAAAATTCTGTTCCTATATGTGAAACTTGAAAACCCACCGAAGTGACTTGTTTTACTTATTTAAAACATTAGTTGCATAAGTACTTTTATGCCATTCAGAGGCAACTCATACTTAAAATTCAAATTTTACTTAATATTTTATTAATGCTAGCAAGCAAATTATATAAAATAATCCACAGAAACTGGTTTTAACCCCCATGCTCCAGTTATGAGCAATTCCCCCCACCATTGTGTGCCTCATCCCTAGAACATAGAGCAACAGGAAAATTCAGTAAGCTATTAGTTTATGCCTAAACTTTTTTCACCAAAACTGCTATTGACAAGTAAAAAGACTTGAATAGTATAACTTCTTGCTTTTCAGAGTAACGTGTAGCAGAACATTCAAATAAGGAGCAAAGGACCAAAAAGCAGACGGAGAGAGTAAACTATTTTTCAACAAACTAGAAATCTGCTTCTGTGTGTTTCTGTCCCCCATCTTCTCACATGAAATCTTTGCTGGCAGCAGCTCTCTCCTACCACATTATATTATACATGCATAACCTGAGGCTGTGTATTGTCACCTAGTTTATGACCTTTAGGGAAAGCAAAAATGAGATGAGACTGTATAGCTGGGGAGGAAAGAGTCTCCTGCCTGAGTAAGTCCCATGTCTGAGGAAAGGGAGCAGGCCTTTAAATGTTTTGTTAGTACATAATATGAGATCAAAAAGCAGCTCAATTTCTGGCTTAGGATATTGTTGCAAAAGTAAAAACAGCAGTTTTGAGAAAATAAAAATGTGCATACCTATAGCTAGTCTGAAATTGCTTGTCACTAACCCCAATAACTAGAAGTTTCAAATTCTAGGTACATATATAAATGCAATTAATAACTGAAGTACCTGAGTATGTATGTATAGTGTTGGTAATTATCAAATACATTGTAATATATTCAGTATTGGTATTTGATTTAAAAAAAAATAGTCTAAAGTGAATTCTTACTGAGAATAACCATTAAAAATTTAATTGTAGTTTTTCATTATTTTGTTTTTATTTTGCACTAAACTTCCAAGTAGACATTTCAATATGACAAAGTTACATAAGCCAAGCATCCCCTTGCACGTAAGGAAAAATGCAATTATTTTCTATTCTGAATCTCCAGACTGCTGTTTTAGAAAATCATATCTGATTATTTGCTCAGCAGAAGATTATTGAGTTGATTTAGCTGTGATTTTACTTAACAAAGCTTCAACTGCATTCCTACTGTGGAGTCCAAAAAAGGTAGAGAGATATAAATGATACATTCAAACTGTGATTTTTGTGAACAGGGCCGTCGATGCACCCCTCGGAGCTAATAGCGGAGATGAGAAACAGTGGGTTTGCACTGAAACGAAATGTACTGGGGAGAAACTTGACCGCAAATGATCCATCACAGGTAATGATCTTTTTATCAGTAAGCTGAAAATGTCTGGAAATCTAAATGTGATTGCTTGTGAATTGCTACTTAATGTTTTCCAATATACATATATCCATAGGAAAGTAAGATAGAGCAAAGAAAATACTTTAAATGTATTTTGATTTTGCTTCTTTATTACTTTAACCTAAATGAGAAATTGTTTATAAACCTATATTTTAATAAATGAAATGGCTCCTTTGGGTTTATGTGGATAAAATATCTAACTGAACCGTGATAGGATTGTTTGCTCCTTCCTGCTAACACATCCTTGAAATGACATTAAATTGAGCCAATAGAAGTCTATAAAAAGCTCCCTAAGCATTATAGAAAATGCTTTAAACTTATTTATTAAATGTTCATAAATTCAGAAAGTTAAAAGTTTTCAAACTTATTGCACTTTGTATGTATAAGAGCCTGTGAATGTGTGTGTGTATGTGTGTGAGTGCAGGCATGCATATGAATGCAAATCAAGAGGAAAACTTGGAGCAGTCAGTTCTCTCCACCATGTGGATTCCAGGCTTGGTGGCAAGTGCCTTTGTACACTGAGCCATTAGCCCCGGCTTGAGCTTTAAAGGCTGTATTATTGCATATTTTATAATAAATTACTATAATGACAAAGTTTAAAGTGACTGATATTTTTATCTAAGTTTCATGATCTTTATATTTTTATATGTTTGTTCTGCTGGGGCTTGCAACCAGGGCCATGTGTATGTCAGGCAAGTGTTCTGTTATGGAGCTGTAGTCCCAGCCCCTCAAGATGCTCTTGGTTTTTATATTTCATTAAACTAAAAATGCTGTATCTAGACAGTAAATATTTAAAAGATTGAAGCCTACTGTATTTCCATATGTACTTATTTTCCATCTCTTGATATTTTCCAAGAGTTATAAAGCAGCTGTATTAACCTTTGGTCTAGCTAGCAGTGGAGTATAAAGCCCACACTTCAGTCCTGAGTAAGTGCTTTCTTTCCTGTCTAGTAACTAACTTGTCTAAAATTGAGCAATTGGTCTTTGTTGACTCAGGACTATGTTGCAAGTGATGGTGAAGAAGACCCTGAAGTTGAATTCTTGAAGTCCCTGACAACCAAACAGAAGCAGAAGCTTCTCAGGTAACTAAGGAGTCCATGTGTAATGACCTATCTCCAGGGTTTGACCTAGACTGTGCTCTCAGCTTTGGGCAGAGAGCTCATGACGATGCTTAAACTGTGGGTCATTTGTATTGATTTATTCTTCAGCTAGAGTAATAATACAGTTTGTCTTTTCAATAACAAGAAAATTTGTGTTTGTGTCCTCAGATTATACTACCAAGCTATTATTGTACCTTTCAGAGTGTTTCATTTGGAAGTAGACATATCTGTAGCTTTTACTCATCTTAATAAAATGGTGTATATCTTTGCACACCACTTGTTCTTAGAAGGTATTTTAATGTTTTTTTTTTTTACATTTTGTAAAATTTTATGAGGAATATTGAGAGAATGTTTAAATTTATAGTAATGCTTAAATTTGTTAAGCATTCCATGTGGGCTAAAGAATTAAAGATCTGCGGAGTCCAATAGAGGGCGCTCACCATGTTCTAGTACATGGAGCATGGCCGCAGAACCCAGGGAAGAGGCTGGTGTCTCACAGTAACTCAGAACTCCCTTCTGAACAACTTAGGCCTCCCAGAAAATTCAGAAAGCAGTGTGACTACTGTATTTCTAAAACTAGACAATCCCTGAGAACTAGGAGGTAATTATTTTATATAGTATCAAAGTATATTCTAATCCTCAGTTTTGATCATTTATGTTTGGTTTTGGATTTTTGTTAAATTTGTTTTTGCTTTTTCAAGACAGGGTTTCTCTGTGTTGCCCTAGCTGTCCTGGAACTCTGTAGACTATCCTCAAACTCACAGAGATCCACCTGCCTCTTCTTCCTGAGTGCTGGCATTAAAGGTGTGCATTACTACCACCCAGCAATAATTAATGTCAATTAATATTTCTACACTTGAAACATAGACACAATTTTAACCTTTCATCTAACTGTGCCTAGGTCCAGTTAATGCTACACATCTTTCCCAAGTTTTCTTTAAATTATGAGAACCATTTTATTTGGAATGCTAAATAATTTCATGTTCTGACTCATAGGAATGTTTTGTCAAAAGAACAGTCATTCCCATTAAAGTATGGTCAGGAAGTTGGCTTAATTTAAATTCCTACTAATGTCTACATGCCTGAAAAATTTATAAGGAAGAAAATGATTTTATCGTTATAGAGTAAATAATGTTTAGATGTGAGCATCTAAGAAAATTATATTGTCTGTTGACAGTTTCTCTTTTGTTGATGAAAGAACTATTTCTTTCCAACTATAGGAAATTGGATAGACTTGAAAAGAAAAAAAAGAAAAAGAAAAGTGATAAGAAAAAGAAAAAATTACAGAAGAGCAGAAGTAAACACAAAAAACGTAAAAACAAATCTCCTTCCTCCTCCTCCTCTTCCTCCTCCTCTTCCTCCTCTTCCTCCTCCTCTTCTGACACTTCAGAAAGCAGCAGTGAAAGTGACAACAAAGAAAAGAAAAGAGAGAAGGAGAAGAGGAAGAAAAAGAAGAAAACCAAATGTTCAGGAAGTAAAACAAATGACTCTGAAGAGGATAAGTCTAAGAACAAACTTCATGAAGAATTTTCTAGTAGTCACAGTGACAGGGGAAAAGCCAACGAAACATTAAGGCTTCCAAAACAAGAGAGTTCTGGGGAGAATAGCACCCGGGTCCATTTTGGTTCTGACCGAAAGTCCAGAAACCATCGTCATAGTCCAGAGATGAAAGGGTCTGACAGAAATGGGGGAATCCGAAGTCATAGCAGGGCTGAGAGCAGCAGGAGAAGCAGAAGCAGGAGTCCTGGTAGTCACAGGCAAAGGGAGATGAGGGACTGGCCTCAGTTGAGCCCTACTGAAGAGCGCACCAGAAGAAAAGACAACAGAAACCATGGCAATGGTGAACACAGAAGAGAGAGGGCGCGGTGAGCACCCAGGAGATCAAGGGCATGAGTGGCAGAGGGACAGCTCCTGGGAATAAAGGACTCCATTTTCTCACTGCATAGCTTTAGCAAGGGCTGACCTGCACATTATTATCTAATAAAAAAAAAAAAAACTCTTAATTTTCCATCCCTATAAACTGTCATTTCAAGTATTAGTACCACTGGTTGAGCTCACAGGTATTTATTTGTAGGGACTCTATTTAGGGAATAGAAAGTTTTGTTTCTGTTGGTAGCTTATGCCTTGCACCAGATTTAAAATATGTAAGTCATTGTTATTTTGTTGTTGCTTTGAAATACCATTAAAACAGTGACAACCTTGAGTATTATCAATTCATATTTGTTAAGATTTGAATTTGCTTGGAGCACAATGGGATTGATGAAATTCAGTAGGGTGAATAAAACACTGGATATCGATCAGTATTTCCTTAAGACTTTAAAACCCTAAATTTTTTCTGCAGAGTAAGATATTTACAATTGAATGTCCTATTATTTGTCCATGTTGGCATACAAAATTGCTTTAAACTTAATAGTTCTGAAAAGCAGAATTCTGACATGGGCCTCACTAGGATAAACTGAAGGCATAAGTAGAGTGGTCTTCCTTCCACAAACATGTGTGCTGCAGTCTTGGCATCCGGCCCCCTTCTCTGTAGTTTAAGGCACATCTAGTCACTCTGACACTGGTTCTACATCCCCCTTCGACTTGGTAAGAACCCTTGTGAGTATCTTGGGTCACCTGATGAATCAAGAATAATCTCCACATTTAAGATCAACTGATTGTCAGTCAACCTTTTCTGCACCTAGAATTCTCCTTTTCCTTGCAATGTAACATATTCACAGGTTCCAGGGCTTGGAGACACACATATTTTTGGGGGACTGGTTATTCTGCCTCCCACAATAGCCTTTCTGATGTTAGACATATCATTACAAGGTTTTTCTTCAAAAAGTAAAGCATTTATATTACAAAATACATAGAAAAAATATAAACTAGATATATTTTACTTAAAAGTAGGAGACGTCCCTCTTTGAAATAGGGTCTCACTATCACTGTATAGCCCCTTGCTAGCCTGGAGCTCACCATGTAGACCAAGCCAATATATAAAGTTGTTTGTTGTTGTTTTTTAATTTAGCTACAGATTTTGCCATATGTTCCAAATGACTAGTAAAGGAAAACTATGGAAAATTTTAATACAAATTGCAGATAACATGCAGTTCAAAATTTTTCTTATTGTGAATATTTGGAATATTTCTTTTATCAGTGTTTCACTTTTTTTTAAAGCATCTCTGATACTAGTACAAAAATACTGATTTTGATGGCAGTAACAATTTCCAAATTCTGAAGAAAATAAATTTGGAAGGAGTTAAAACTACTCCGTGTCTACTACTTGGCTATGCACACACAAGCAGATGTCCTGTGATATAGCTGTGTTGACGATGTAAATAGCCCTTTGATTATGCAGATGAAGGAAACCAGAGAGGAACTGAGCTCATTCCCCATATACTTTAATGTCTCCCAGCAAACCTCAAAGCTCCTACTCCTTCACTTTAAAAAGCATGCATTTGAAATTGATAAAGGTAATTTACACCCTGAGTTCATCAGTGTCGCTGTGATTATTTTCTACCGTACACCTTTTTAGACTTTATAATTTTTTGTAATGTCAAAACCTATGCAATACTTACTGCCTTAAAAGAGGGTTCCAAACCAATACAGTGTTCATGAAGAAAAATGTTGAAATGCATCCTATAATTAAGAATGAATTAAATACTGTTTCTTACACTTTGACTTTCACCAAAATGTGCCACCACCTCTTAACTTTATAAGGTAGCCCCTAAGGCTTTTTTAATCTCTGATTTAATCCTTCCTGTTGAGAATATTAACATAAGGGACTAATTTTTAAGGCTCTAATCTTATCTACCCAATTATGAGAAAAATTTCCCAATGGTTACAGATCATGTGCATCTGCAGTTTGGTTTTTGGGCTTGGCCACTAAGGATGCCAGACAATCACAATGTTAACTTAGAGACTGGAGGGAGGCATTTTCACACACAAAAACACCATAACAACAGCCTTCCCAAAGCTTGCTCTATCTTCATGCCATATGATACTGGAGAATGGGACTGAAAATGATCTTACAAATAAAAATATTAGGCTTCTAGTAAGTACTGAAAGAATACTCCAAGTTCAATGAACCTAAAGTCAACAGTGATGTTTTCCAGAAATGTAGACATGAGATTTGCCATTCTTCTTAACCTAGAGAAATTATTTTAAATAAATCTGGGTACATGTTGACATTTTTTACTTTTCCTTATATGTGGACATGTATGGAGAGGCATAGGTCAAACTTTGGGGCCATGCCTTCTCCAACTCTTCTCCCTAACCTCATTTAACACTGGCGTATTAGTTCCTGTAGGAGGCACTGTCGATTTACAAATGACCAGAAAAAAAATCGGGTTGTTAGGTTAGGGTTTATCTGGATGTCTACATAGTAAATTGGTCATAATTTCTTTCAATATTTGTCCAAATAGGCAGAAGTTGCTGCAGCATAGCGGCAGGAATGCTCACCTTGCAATGTGACATGAATCTTGCTTGAGTCGTACACTTGAAATATGAAGAAAGCTTTTTATCTGAAAGGTCGTGGAGAGACCTTTCTTCCAGATTCTGAGGCCACTGGCTGATAGCGAATCCGACCAGTCCCGCTGTTGGTGTAGGCATTTCTGTTTCAGTCACAGAATTTAGCATCCTTTAGCCTGGAAGATTGGAGTTCATGCTTTTGACCTAATGGGCAAGAGACGCTGGTGGAAGATGCCTCTTGGGAAGGCCTCATCTTCCACTCCCTGTGCCAAGGAGCAGGCTTAAATGTGTGTGTGTGTGTGTGTGTGTGTGTGTGTGTGTGTGTGTGATCTTATTTAGGTTTTCTGAAGAGCTAAGTTTACTACAATTCTTGACAAGTGTTAACAGGCCTGCAATGGCGGCCTTTGGAGCGGGTTTCAGATCTGAAAGTGCTGTTTGTAAAAGTGAGGAGCAAGATCCCTGAGAACGCTTTCCTGACCTGAAGTTTCTACTAGCTGGTTCCTACCTGCAGGAAAGGAAGCAGATAATTCTTACCACCTTTCTGTTTCCCCTCACTTCACTTGCCACTTAGCACCCCAGAACCCCCACAATGCGCCTAGTACCGTAGAGAGGTGCCAGGGGAGACGCGAAGGTCTGACTGCGATGCTGGAGGAGACATGGAAACCTCTGGCCCTTCCCTGTCAGCGGTTGCCGGGGTGCTGATAGGGTGAGTCCTGAACAGGTGTCGCCGGTCCACCCCCCCGCAGATGCCATTGCACCCTGCATTCTCTGGAACCTTTCCGGGATTCTCACCTGACAACCTGGGACACAGCACACGGAGAGAAGCTGGGGATTTGTGGGCGCACATCCGCCCAACTTTTAGTTCACCCGCGTTACAAGACAGAGACAGATTTGCATAGGTAAAGAGCTCTGACCCGCAATGGCCCAAACCCAGCCAGAAGACACTCCCAGGCCCCTCGGCGAGGCTGCGGGCCAGGACAGCTGTTCGGCGCTCCCGGGGGCCTGGCCCTTACCGCCCTGTCCCCGCCAGGCCTCCTGCATGTGTCCCCTGCGCGGTCGTAGTAGCCTGCAGTGGCTTGGAAGGCAAGAGAATTTTTTCTGCTCGCTGGGGCTCCACAGGTGAAGGACGTGCTTTGAGAAGTCAATACTAATCTCTAGCTCCTGGAGCGGAAGAAGAAAATACCAACTCTCACTAGCAACCTACCAGAAGAAAGCGGACTGAGGGAGTCACACCCTATCCACTGCATTTCTTTCATCAATGAATCACCCCCGAAGTGGCAAGATGCTGGCGAAACAATGCGAAATCCCCAGTGAATTCCCAAAGAAAAAGAAGGTTACAGTCTGGGAAAACCTACAGCTCAAATGCTAAGCCTTCCCGGATCCCCGCCAACTATGGAGCAGTGTGTCCCCGCGGACATTCGGAAACCTTAACTCGAGTTCCAAACACAGTACATATTTATATCAATAATATATGGGGAGGCAAGTCTGTATGTATTTACCTCATACATATTTCTATAAACTCCAGCGTCTGGAAAGGGTGGGGGGTAAATAGCACTGAACGGTTAAAATTATGGAGAAGGGATAATAACTGATTACTAATTTGAAAGTAAATAAACAGGTGACTTTTTCAGATCAAATTCCTCCTTGGATCGTTACAATAAATATCTCTGAAGGAAGCGCTCTATTTATGTTGTCATTGATTAATTCTTCACTACCTCATTTGATTTCGATTTAGAACGATTTGATTCTAATTTAATTAGCATGTAATTTGGATGTACATAATTACTGTAATTATGACATTCAGGTAAGGCAGCTTTAGGCTGAAAGGCAATTTCAAATTTTCTAGCAACCTACTTTGTACTGGGAAATGGACAAGGACTTTGCGCCCTGCTATCCAAGTAGTAATTAGCACATCTTTGAAACAGGCAGTGTGGCTGGGTTTGTATTAAAACAGCAAATACAAACCCAGCCTAGTCCCCTCTACAAAGGTGGCTGTTGAGTTCCCAGAAGCGCGCTGCGTTTCCCTGGCTTGAGTTTGGGGAGCCAGGCACCCCGGAGCCTGCGCTCCTCTCTCACAGCTTCGGGTGACTGCGTTTCTTTCCTCCTCAGGCGGGCGCGGGGTTGGAAGGTGTCGCTTTTTAAATTAAAATACAATAACTGCTGGGGGGGGGAGGGGAGAAAGTGGCTGCAA